CTAAGGGTTTTTTGACAAGAAGAGGAACTCTTTAAAAAAAATTGTTTTTAAATATATTTTAAGTGGAAATTCTCTTTTTAACATAATCTACCTTATGTGGCTTTACAAGTTATGTACTTTCACATAAATACTACTACTGTTCCCAGGCAGCATAGATGAAACTTAATTGATTCTGTTAATTGATTCTGTTCACACAACTGTTTAAATCATATGGTGTTTAAAAAAAAAAAACAAAAACTGTCCTCTTACATTAACCTGCTGCGAATGGGAATGAAGATTTACTCACCAGCTAGTATTTGTCAGTCACACCCTGGAACACAGTGATTATACTCCATTTCACAAATGCAGAAATGGGGCAATTTCAATCATTCTGCAATTCAAGCTACACCAGCCAGTGAGCTCACGTGGCCTGCCCCACAGTTTTAGTCTTAGATTGTACCTGTGGTTATGTACTCATTTCCACTTTTATCCTTCATTTTTCTGCCAGCAGCCATTTCTCACAGGACCAAATTTATCAGAAACAAGATGAATCAACCCTGCAAAACAGGTAATGTCACTGAGTAAGTGTGGGTTCAGAGGGCATTTTGTGTCTACATCTGTTTTAAAGCTTCTGTATTATTTGAAAATGTGTGTCTTTTATATAGCCTCTAGATATTACTGCTGAAGGGTACACTTGTGTCATTTTCAGAAAACATTACTTTTGAGAACAGGTTTTTGCCTCAGGAATTAAAATAAATTCTATTGTGGGGCGCCTGGGTGGCTCCGTCAGTTAAGCGTCCGACTTCAGCTCAGGTCACGATCTCACAATCTGTGAGTTCGAGCCCCGCGTCGGGCTCTGTGCTGACAGCTCACAGCCTAGAGCCAGCTTTGGATTCTGTGTCTTTCCTCTCTCTCTGCCCCTCCCATACTCATGTTCTGTCTCTCAAAAAATGAATAAATGTTAAAAAAAAATTTTTTTTAATTCTGTTGTTCTTTGATTCTACTTAAGTGATGTTAATAATTGTGTAAAAGGATGATACTGTCAGGTTAGAGATAATCTAGAAAAATGTTGGGTGTATCATGCTTACACAGAAAAGCCAATGAATGCATACATGAACTAATACAGTAATACACTTGTTACAGAATAAAATGCAGGAAATACTGAAGCCACTGGGGAAAACAGTGACTAACAGAAACTTTTGCAAACTATCTTTATGTGTCATGACAATTTTTAGGTTTGTCCTTTATTTTTTTTAACGTTTATTCATTTTTGAGAGACAGAGACAGAGAATGAGTGAGGGAGGGGCAGAGAGAGAGGGAGACACAATCCAAAACAGGCTCCAGGCTCTAAGCTGTCAGCACAGAGCCTGGCTCGGGCTTGAACTCATAAACCAAAAGATCATGACCAGAGCCGAAATTGGATGCTTAACCGACTAAGCTACCCCTAGGTTTGTCCTTTCTTAATTTTAAGCTGTAAGCAAAAATCTCAGGTTAAAATGACATAAGGGAGGAAAGTATGGGCCTTTTAAAGTAGGTCATTAGGATGGACCTAGAAACCAGAGAGCATGAAACATAACCTAGATCACATCTGGCTCTGCCAACTGCCATTTGACTCTCTGAACCCCCATTTCTGCTTCTATGAAATCAAAGTGACAATGTTATGTGAAGGAGAAGAATCTATGTAAGTGACCAAGAATTGCCAGGTACATTGGATACACAATATATGTTTGTATGAATGAATGAGTGACCCCAAGGGCATAGACTCAAATACTTCTTTGTGGCTAGAAGGGTCTTTAGCAGGGCTTGTGGCCAACCTGAGAGTTCATGCCAAATTCACATCCAAGAAAGGGGTCAGAACTCACCACACTGAAATGGGGGAAAAAAACAGAACAAAACAAAAAGTACTGCCAAAGCCTTTAAATTTTCAAAAGAAGCTGGAAATCTGGATTTTATCTGTAATTTCCTGGTTTTTAAACATTAGAAACTAATTTAAAATTTGGATTAGGAACTGTAGGCTAACCAAAATTCATATGCTAGATTTGACCTGTGGCTAGCCACTTATTAATCTCTGATTTTGGTCCAGGCTTATAAAACAAAAGAAGGTAGAAAACAGGAGTAGAATCGCCACTTTGGAAAAGTGGGTCTAGGACTTTTGTCTTCAAAGAGCTATGAGATGGGGACAAAGTGGAGATGCTGATTATAGATGCTAGAAAACTAACCTCTGAAGAGAAAATCAATGTCTAATTATATGCGCTGATGTGAAATGTTTACCACTAAAGTGTGATTAGCAGGTAGCAAATTCTGCATATGGAGCATTCAAATATACCATTACTGTGATCTAGATAACTTTGTGAATTTATTTGACAATAGATAGGCATTATCTGTGACTAAAGGACTCCATCCATGACTGAAGCCAGTCTTACCACTTTGTAATTAACCCAGAATCACCATAGCCCAGGCCTCATGGCCCTCCTACTTTGCCAGCCATGTAGAAATAAACTTGGGCTAACCTGATGATGTAAGAGGCAAAGGCATCATGCACCAAGTTCCTTTTCCCACAGTACTGAAATTCCTGTCAGAGTTTATTTTATTTTTTTTTTATTTAAAAAAAAAATTTTTTTTTCCTCAACATTTATTTATTTTTGGGACAGAGAGAGACAGACCATGAACGGGGGAGGGGCAGAGAGAGAGGGAGACACAGAATCGGAAACAGGCTCCAGGCTCCGAGCCATCAGCCCAGAGCCCGACGCGGGGCTCGAACTCCCGGACCGCGAGATCGTGACCTGGCTGAAGTTGGACGCTTAACCTACTGCGCCACCCAGGCGCCCCAATTTATTTTTGAGATTACTAAATGCTATTTCCCCTTGAAGTTAATTTGCTGAAGGAGATTTCTCAACGCGTATAAAGGCATACTGAGGATGAGGGTGTGACTAGGGTGAAAGGGGGAGAAAGAGAAGAGGGAGAAAAAACATGGTATGAGAGATACTGAAAAATCCTTGGCACCAAGTGGCATGACTGCATTTGTATTTTGTAAAGATCACTCTAGTGATCTTAAAGAATCAAACCAGTTAGTAGCAGAGGCAGGTACAAAGTCAGAAGATAACTGCAGTGTCCAGATAAGAAATTAAGAAGGGAGAGTGACATCACGGCAGCATAAAAAGGTCCCTATCAAAATTGAATCATGAGGAGGGGAGCCTGGGTGGCTCAGTTGGTTTAGCGTCCCACTTCAGCTCAGGTCATGATCTCACGGTTTGTGAGTTCAAGCCCCGCATCGGGCTTTGTGCTGACAGCTCAGAGCCTGGAACCTGCTTCGGATTCTGTGTCTCCCTCTCTCTCTGCCCCTAACCCACTCTCATTCTGTCTCTGTCTCTCTCAAAAATAAATAAAAACATTTTTAAAAATTGAAAAAAAAAAACTGAATCATGAGGAAAAAGCAAAAGTGAACAGACTGATAAAAGTAAGGGGACTGAATCAGTAATCAACTCCCCAAAAAGAAAAGCCCAGGACTAGATTTTTGCATAGGTGAATTCTATCAAACATTTAAAGAGTTAATATCCTTCTCAAACTTTTCCCAAAAAATGAGGACAAAGGAACAGTCCCAAACTCATTTCATGAGGCCACCATTACCCTGATAACATAGCCCTAAGGACTCTAATAAGAAAACTATAGGCCAAAATCCCTGATAAATAGAGATGGAAAAAATCAAAACATTATCAAACCAATTCAACAGCACAGGAAAGGGATCATATACCATGAACAAGAGGAATTAATTCTTGGGATACAAGCACGGTTCAACATCTACAAATCAATAAATGTGATACACCAGATAGATGCAGAAAGCTTTTGACAAAATGACAACATCATTTTATGATACAAATGCTCAATAATTTGGTACAGAAGGAACATATGTCAACATAATAAAGGCTATATATGACAAGCACACTAACATACTCAACTAGTTAAGTTTTCATATCTGTAACTTAAAGTCAATTTATTCAAGGAGATTTCTCAACATTTACATAATATGCTGACAGAATGAGGGTTGTACATAACTTTGTTATGGAGATGAAAAGTAGAAAGCTCTCCCTCCAAGATCAGATCCCTCCCCCCAGAACAATCAGGGGTGCCTTCTCTCACCAATCTTATTCAACAAAGTACTGGAATTTCCTGGCCAGAACAATTAGATAAGAAAAAGAACTGGGGTACCTGGGTGGCTCAGTCGGTTGAGCATCTAACTCTTGATTTCAACTAAAGACATAATCCCAGGGTTGTGGAACAAGTCCCACATCGGGCTTGGTGCTAAGCATGGAACCTGCTTAATATTCTTTCTTTCTCTCTCTCTTTTTCTCTCTCTCTCTCTCACCCTCCCTCCCTCTCTTTCCCTCTGCCCCTCTCCCCTGCTCGCATGCTCTCTCTCTAAAATAATTAATCAATTAATAAGAAAAAGAACTAAAAGGCATCTAAATCAGAAAGGAGGAAGTAAAATGTCTTTGTCTGCAGATGATATCATCTTACATATAGAAAATACCAAAGACTCCACCAAAAACTGTTAGAACTAATTAATTCAGTGAAGCTGCAGGATACAAAAATCAATATATAGAAATATGTTGCATTTCTATTCACTGAGAACAAACCAGCAGAAAGAGAAAAATAAGAAAATCATTCCATTTACAACTGCATCAAAAAGAATAAAATACCTGGGAGTAAATTTGACCACAGAGGTGAAAGACCTGGACTCTGTCAACTGTAAAACACTAATGAAAGAAACGGACGATGACACAAGTAAATGAAAAGATAAACCGTGCTCCTGCTCTAGAAAAATTAATGTTGTTAAGATGTCCATACTATCCAAAGCAGTCTGTAGATTCAAGGCAATCCCTATCAAAATGCCAACAGCCTATTTCACAGAACAAGAACAAAGAATCCTAACCTTTTTCTGAAACCACAAAAGATTCCAGGTAGCCAAAGCAATCCTGAGAAAGAATAACAAAGCTGGAGGTATCACAATCCCAGATTTTAAACTATACTACAAAGCTGTAATAATCAAAACATTATGGTACTGGCCTAAACACAGAAACATCAATGTAAGAGAATAGAGAGCCCAGAAATAGGCCAACACGTATATGGTCAATTAATCTATGACAAACGAAGCAAGGATATACAATGGGGAAAAGACAGTGTCTCCAATAAATGGTGTTAGAAAAACTGGACAGCTACAAGTAAAAAACTAAAACAACCATTTTCTCATACCACTTACCAAAATAAGCTCAAAATGGATTAAAGACCTAAACACAGGAGACAAAACCATGAAAATCTTAAAAGAAAACATAGGAAATAAACTCTTAGCCATCATTCTTATCAATATTTTTTGGCTCTCTCTCCTTTGGCAAGGGCAACAAGAGCAAAAATAAACTACTGAGACTACATCAAACAAAAAAAACCCTTTTGCACAGAGAAAGAAGCCATCGACAAAACAATAAGGCAGCCTACTGAATAGGAGAAGATAACTGCAAATGATATATCCAATGAGGGGTTAATATCCAAATATATAAAGAAC